CTATGAACACAAAGTATCAAATAAAGTAAACAAGGCTATGGCAAAAAAGTATCAAAGAAAGAATAACAAAACTGTGACAAAGTATCAAAACAAGACTATGGCAAAATACCAAAGCAAGATTAACAGGACTGTGAAAAAACATGGCTATGACAAAAACAGTAAACAAGACTATGGCATGGCTGTGACAAAATCAAACCTTACGTGGTTTGAGGGGTGACGAAAAACTCCCAAACACACTGGCACAGGACATGGGAAACGAGGACTATTAAAACACATGAGGGAGGGGAACCCCAGGTGTACACAATAGGTAATCAACACATGACAACACACCAGACATTCCCCCAGACGTGACACCGTCATGTACAGTTACACCCACAGAGTCCTGGATGCTGAATGAGAGGACCTTCAGCTCCAAGATCTGACAGATTTTAGCCCAAAAAAGAAACACTGTGCATTCTCACTGAGCACTTTTGGCTTAGCTAAAGACATATATGCATTTTTAAATAACTTTCAAATGCTCCCAGGGGTCAAAAAGCTGTCAGATAAAGGCTGACCCGCGTCCCTGTGTTCAGCATAGAGAGCCGATATGTTTAAGATCTGGAGTATAAATAGCCAGACACATGTTAAGAGTCTGTTATTTAGCGCAATAAACACAACTCCGAGCTGAAGTTTACAATAAACATCCTCTTCTCTGGGAACCCAGTTGTTACCGTCGGGGCCGTGACTGTCGTCAGGGCAACCTGGCGTCTTATCTCGGCGGTTGTGGTTCTGAGTCCCAGATCACCACGGCCCTCCCACGACCTCGTCCATGCTGGGACTTTTGTTCGGTACTGTTTGTTCTGGGGATGGATCCGCGGTGAGGGGAGCCGATAGCCGTTGGCTGACCTGAACCGTGTCCGTCTGGCACCTTCAAAGAACCAAAACAGGGTTTTATGGCCGCTGAGGACAAAAAAACAAAAACAAAAGGGAACACGGTCTCTCTTCATGCTTTGTTCGTGCTTCTCTTTCAGACACTACCACAGCATCGAGGTCTTCACCCACTATGATCTGCTCACTCTTAATGGAACCAAGGTGGCTGAAGGCCACAAAGCCAGCTTCTGTTTGGAGGACACTTACTGTCCCGATGGTAAGATGGGAATAAGGGAGTCATTATTCCTGAATTAGAACAATAAAAAAAAAGGGTAGACTTGGGACCAAGAAGACAAGCAGCACCAGGCTTCACATCTTATAGATCTAAGAAAAAATGCACAAAAAGATCTGCTTTTTTGGTCATTTTGGCCATTTTCTTTTTTATTTTATTTTATTTTTTCAAAGTTTTCAGTACAACATTAATAACACAGAACAGTTCGACATAGAGAGCAGTTGGCAAAAATGCAGCTTGTTGAAAGTAGCGATGAATCATGAACCATTTTGAAGCACAGCACACTTTACCCTGTAGGAGTCCCATTTTGACCAAAGTTTATGAAAAATGTCAAGTTTCAAGTGAATTTTAAAAGTCATTTGTTCCATGTTTCTTATTTCAGTCATGATTTCAATCCAGTTTGAAATCGTGGGGGATGACTGTGTCATCCATTTCTTAGTTATGGCTTTTTTTCCAGCAGCAAGCATTATGTTCAAAAGGTATCATTTTGGCCATTTTCTAACTGTTTTTTTGCCCTCAGGTATCCATAAGCGATACGCCTGCTACAACATGGGGCAGCAGGGTATCTCGGTGGGCTGCTGGGACACCTACCGCCACGATATCGACTGTCAGTGGATCGACGTCACCGACGTGAGACCCGGCGAGTACATCTTTCAGGTCAGTTCGTGACAGAAAACACAAAACAAATAAAGCCAGTCAGCAAGAAAGTCGCTTCTCTGAAGGTGTAGATCCACCGTGTGAAACGTGTGGCACCAAAATAACAAAGTGGCAGCACTTTCTTTGTTCTAAAACCAATAGAATTGAATTGAATTGAATATACTTTATTGATCTCCAGGGAAAAATTGACTAAATACAGGCTCAAATCAGGAAATAGTGGAAGAATACTGATTAAACACAATCTACTTTATGTTCAAATATAGAAAAATGTGGGAGTCACTTGAGCAGATCAAAAAACAAACAGCAAACTCACAGAAATCTTTTGGCCACTTTAATCCACTTTATTCCTTTTAAAATTAGACGTTGTGCGACTTTTTAAACTCCCATGATGGTCGTTTGAGAAAGAGATATCACATAAAAATTATGTAGGATTGTGTGGATGGTAGTTAAAAAGAAGAGCGTTGTGTCAAAGAACCAGTTGGCCAGTGACTTTTGACCTTTGAGCCATGTGGTCAGCAGTGGTTGGTTTGGACTTGGAACAGGAATACATGAATTTGATAAATATTTGATCAAATATGAGCAAAACCATACTTATCCCATATTGTTAAGCCTGAATAACAACGACTACTTCTGTCTAATTAGTGTCATGTTGCCTAATAAGAGCCCTGTAAAAGAAACAACTCACAATTCAAAGCTCACATTTCCTTTTTCTTTGATTGTAACACGACGATTATATCAGTGACTCATGAGAACGAGCTTTTGGTTCTCCACCTGAGGGAAAATAGCAGAAAAAATGGTCGTCCTTACACAATCTCCATAGTGAAACAGAACCATTGCTCTCGGTTAAAACTGAGATCAGGAATGAAAGCAAAGAGCAGCAAATCCAGGGGTTTGTTTCAACATCTGAAAGCACGCACGAGATAAAAGCCTTGATAAAAGACTGTAATCTCAGCTAAATGGCCCTTGGCTGTATTTCCAGCCATTCAGGTGTATGGTATGTATGTAGTTTCAAGGGTGTGTGGGTATTTAAGGAAAGTGAATTTAGTCTGGATTTATATAGGAAGTAGACCTGCCATTAGTCGCCCTCTCAGAGTGGACCTGCTGGCAGTGGAAAAGCTCCGTCAGCCCTTTGGATTTGCACAACTTTTCTGTTTCAAAAGCCCGACTGGTCCACGTCCTGCCTCCCCCAGGAAACCCGACCCGCTGTGATCTTCTCATCCTCCCCCCTCTGTCATTTGTTCTATTTATTCCTGTCGGTCCGACGGCGTTTACAGTTTCTAATTATTTTCTCCGAGCTGACATGAAATCAAAATGTTTACGTCCGACCCCCGGTGCGTACGTGGACCGTATTTACACAACACGCGGGACATGTGAGCAGCACTTTGTGGTCACGGTTGTGGTGCAACAGTAGATGAGCTGCTCATAAACCTCTCTGCGAGGCTGGAAGCGGCGGCCGTTGCCCGGCAACCAACGGCGACGGCGGCGGCCATTTTTAGGACCATACATTAAGGGCGGATGAGTCACGTCCAGCATCAGAAAATCAGCTGCGTGAGCTCAGAGCCTTTCATTGTTGTGTAAAAAGGGGCCCTGTGTTTCTCATCATTACAAAGAGTTTTTAAGAGGGCATCAGCTGCCATCAACTTAATGTGATGTTTTACACCGGGGGCCATAAAGCTGCTCTGCTGCCTCTCTCATGTCAAGTTTTTTTTCAAAAGAAGCTCCTCATTCCAAATTTAGCCCAGAAATGTCATGAAAAAGAATCACAGTTATGAATATTTTTTCTCATCTTAAATCTTGGGCCGTAAATATAATTGGAGCCACAAAACTTAAACAGTATGTAGAAAATGAAACGGGGCTGCTTTATTGAATGTGTGGTCCAGTTATCTGTTTGATGTGTGCATGCGGAAAGTTCATTTGTGCGCTTTTCTTATATATATGGTAGGCAGACAGACAGGGTGGAAAACAACAAACCATGGCAACAGTCTAATGATAGGCTCCAAACCCCAAACTGTCATCTGCATCTCCGAGGCTTTTTTTTCCTCCTGCACACAGATAACAGTGGAAAGTGATGTCATGCGTTGCCCGGATTTAAACATCCCGGGTCCTATAGCGGAGGCCAGACAATGGGCATCCACTTTCCAGCCACTTGGATGGCTTTGAAACATGTTCCCCATTTACATTTCTGGATCAGACGAAATGTCACGAAACATCGTAAGCTTTCAGAAAAAGACAAATATTTGCCCTCGTTATGTTTGGGGAACACTGTCTGCATAAGCAATGAAACTAAAAAGGAGAGGTTTGGCTTATAGTCTACATTGTTGGTTGTGGTCTCTATGGAAGTTTTGGGAATACGGGGCCCACCACACTCTGATTCAGAGACTGCTCGTCTGCGTCCGATCAAACAGGCCAGACTTTCCACCACGGGATGTAGGACCCTGGGTTTATTTCTTAACTCTATTTGGACAGGAACTCAAACTTGTGTTCGGCTAAGGGTTGTCTCCATGCGTATCAGTTTTTACTCATGGAGCTGTGGCCTCCTGGATGAGTCTGAGCCATTTGTGAGCTGTAAGGCAAAAAAGTTCAGTGTTCAGTCTCCTCATGACCTCTGACCTCTGAGTAGTGACCAAAAAGCTCTGGGTGGACTGCTGCCCTCTGAATTTATAGGAATCATAAAAAATGTATGTTACATGTCCACTGTGATACCTCTGGAATCCTAGTGGAATCAAAATGTGGGGATGTTCTTTCATTTTCCACACGGGAAATATCCATCCATCCATCCATCCATCCATCCATCCATCCATCCATCCATCCATCCATCCATACATACATACATACATACATACATACATACATACATACATACAT